CCTTTCCCCTCCCCTCCCTTTCCCATCCTCCTCCTCTCCCCTCCCCTCCACTCTTCCCCATCCTCCTTTCTTTCCCTTCCCCTTCTTTCCTTTCCCATCCCATCCCTTGCCTCTCCTCCCTTTCCTTCCCTCCCCTCCCTTTCCCTCCTCTCTCCTTTCCTTTCCCTTCCTTTTTCCCTTCCTTTCCTTTCCCTTCCCTTTCCCCTCCCCTCCCTTTCCCATCCTCCTCCTCTCCCCTCCCCTCCACTCTTCCCCATCCTCCTTTCTTTCCCTTCCCCTTCTTTCCTTTCCACTTTCCTTTCCCATCCCATCCCTTGCCTCTCTTTCCTTTCCTTCCATCTCCTCCACTCCCTTCTTTTCCTTTCCTTTCTTTCCTCCCCCCCCCCTTTCCCTTTGTTTCCCCCTTTCCCTTTCTTGACTCCTACTGAGTGCCTGGACAAATTCCCCCTGTAATTTTCTTGGCAAGGATTTTCAGAAGTGGGTTTTGCCATTGCCTCTTTCCTAGGGCTGAGAGACAGGGAACAGGCCTAAGGGCACCCAGCTGGCTTCATGCCTAAGACAGGACTGGAACTCAGGGCCCCAAAGTTTCTAACTCCATGCCTTAGCTACCACAACGGGTTTGTCTTCTCCTGGCATGGGGGGAAAAAGTGACTTATGACCCTTTCTCACACTTACAACCATTGCAGCATCCCCATGGTCATGAGATTTACCTTCCGACGCTTGACCCCTGACTCACATTTATGACGGTTGCGTCCCGGAGTAATGTGATCCCTTTTTTAATGACCTCCTAACAAGCAAAATTCAAGGGGAAGCCAGATTCGCTTAACAACCGGGTTACTAATTTAAGAATGGCAGGGATTCGCTTAACAACCCTGGCAAGGAAAGTTGTAAAGTGGGACAAAGCTCAGTTAGCAAATGTCTCCCTTAGCAACATAGGTTTGTGGCTCTGTGGTGGTCGTACGTGGGTTTCCGTGGTATCCCTGTATTTTCTGGTTTTCGTGGTATGGACTGCATCTATGTGGGAGGGGTCTGCTCTGTAATGCAACAGCTACCCTCTCCCCAGGAGAGCCCCTCCTCGTGGCCGAGCTCAAGCCGGGACGACCCCAACAGCATGACTGGAAATCCAGCTGCGAGACCTGGAGTGTGGCCTTCTCCGCCGACGGGACTTGGTTTGCCTGGTCACAGGGCCACTGTGTGGTCAGGCTGCTCCCGTGGCCTTTGCAGGGGACTGAGCAGTGAGTATCCACAACAGGGTGATGCTGCAGCCCCTTCCCAAGGAAGTTTTGGGACTGCCAGGTCCTCTGGACTCCTGATAGTCAGAATCAGAGAGAATGGCAGAGTTGGAAGGGTCTTAGAGGTCTACTAGTCCAACCTCTTGCTCAGGCAGGAATGGAGTAGAGTAGAGTAGAGTAGAGTAGAGTAGANTTGATTATCTCTTATGAGTCTGTCTCCATAACTGCTGCCTCCTTTTCTCTGCCCTTCGTTGCCTGGCGTCAGGGGCAAACTCCCTTTGATCTTCCCCACTGCTCCAAGCCTCAGGTGCTTCCTGGTGGCCAACCAGCCTCTCTAGTCCCTGCTCTGAGTCTGAACCCTACCCACAGTCCTCCACATCTTCCATAGCAGACTCATAGGATTCCTCGCCATCGGAGTCCATCGGCAGCTCCAACGGCTCCTGCTGGGCCACATCACTAACCATACCTTGCTCCGGTTTTAAATTTAGGTTCATGTTTTTCAGGCTCATTTCCAGGAACGTCCATCTCCCTGGAGGAAATCCAGAGGTCCCAACCCACGTCGTAGAGCGGATCATCTCTTCCTTTATGCTTTATGTACTAAGAAATGGAAGTGTGTCTCGCAGAGCGGCCGGAACTGGGCCACCAAGGATTCCTGCAACATTATCCCCATCTTTTTTGCTTTTCCTTGTATTCCTTCCCGTGCTGCTGCGGCTCGGCTGAGCTGTGTGCCCTGCGGAATCTGAAACAACATTTATGACGTAGGACGAGGATAAAGTATGGAGTGGCTTTTTCGGAACCAGAGGAAGAAGCATTGCAGGGACAATTTTCCAAGGAGAAAAAGGCTTGCAGCCCAGCGGAAGAGCTGGAGGGGCAGGGAGAGATTTCCCAGCTGGTCCTGGATCTCCCCCTCCCGTTCCCAGCTTAGATTCTCTTTGGATAGAACTCTTAATAGGAGTCAAAGCTCTTAGGGTCTTTTTCAGGGGAGGAAGCATCACAGCAGTTCCTGTTTGGGGTGGGGTGGGAGAGGTATCATTGTCTTGTCTAGTTTCAGATTCCTTGAGGCATCTAACAACACTTTGTGTCCTCTAGAGCAGCGGTCACCAACTGGTGGTCCACGAGAAAATTTTGGTGGTCTGCAGAAAAATTATTTGCATTTTTTATATTGCACTAAATCAGGGGTTCTCAAACTACGGCCCCTGGGACGGATAGGTGCAATGAACACTTGTGTTGCTGTAGAGAGTCTCCACCTTTTGGGTCTTTTTGTGGGGGTCGGAGGGGGGCAGAAATTCCAACTTGGGGTCTGCTTCAGCCTCCTGGGGGGGGGGCTTTGGGCCAAGGCTGGAGGGAAGCGCCGTTGGTGGCAAAGAGCCAGAGGGCCTCGTTCTAGTGGGACTGCATCCTGGCCTGGAACTGGCTGATCATCTCAGCCCACTGAGCCTCCAGGCGGCGGCACCTGGCCTTGCCCTCCCGCAGGTCTTCCCTCTGCTT